CTTCTACATGACTTTTTTGCTTTTTCCCATGAGCCCGAGATCAGTTCCATCAGGGAATCTGGGAAGAAAATGAGGGTTCCAATGATTTTCTTGAAACTCATTACTTTTCTCTTCCTTAATTTTAGTAATGGAAGAATGTTAAAAATATGTAGGAATAAAGTACATAGGGAATTGGTATTTTGTATGCTTGGATGCATTAGATTTTTTCTCCAAACTCAAATTGGTGTTTATTAAGAAAAAAGAAACTACACAACTGTATGCAATAGCCCCAAGTTTTTGTAGCTTCACCTTTTGTCTTTTATAGTTTTATTGAGGTGTAATTTATCCAGCATAAAATTCACCTATATAAAGTGCACAATTCAATGATTTTGAGTATATTCGTAGAGTTGGGATGCCCTGGATTTTAGAGTGTATTGGCTTCTGACATGTAGTTATAAAACGTGCCTGTTGGTGTCACTGCAGAGCTCTGCGGTCCAGTTTTCACTGCTGACTTCCCCTCAGCATTGTGTTTTATTGTGACCAAATTAGGCAGCAGATAAATGTAATGGATCTGTCTCAAGGGAGACTGTCATTGCAGAAGAGGATAAATGCACCCTTGAGTTTCAGAAGCTGAGATCCAGATGAAAGATGCAAAGTTTGGAAAAACACGGGCTCCTGTAGAGGGAACCCCTCCCTCTCTATTACCCTCCCCACACTCCAGTTACCTTGTGAGACTAGGCAGCACTGCAGGATGTGTGGGAAAGAGGAGCGGAACTGGAGGGAACCAACACTGGTGGGGCCCTGAGATGTTTTTGCAACCTGGTCCTCAACCCCAGGTCGAATTTAGGTTAGAGAGGGATTGGAAAGTCGGGAGGACTTGTGCCTTCATTCCTGGTGAAATGGCTTATGGAGTTCCTGCCTCCAGCCTGGGCTGGCGGCAGAAAAGCAGAACTGGGAGTGTGCTCTGCCTGGGTATGCTCTGCTCAAGGTGCCTGAGAGCACTTTTCAGAGTTTCTTGGGGTCCCAGAGTAGCCAGATTTTCCAGAATGTTAAGAGGATTGTGGGCAGAGCTGAAATTGAGTGGATGTAGGGAAGCCCTGAGATCAGGAAGAAGATAATGCTAATGGCACTTGTGTGGATCTGTAGTCAAGGGCGGCACAAGGTCATGGATATCTTACCAGATGCCTACACGGACCAATGTCACAAAGACTCCTAGATACCATTGTGGATGGAGAGGGTGAGGAGACCATGATTCGATTGAGGAGATCCTGAATTGACTAAGATTAAGTCCATGGAAATGGTGCTTAAAATAGAAATTATGTTAAATTATGGAAAAAATTAAAAATGTAAAACTTTGTGAGCATCCGGAATGGTGGCTTGAGAGTTGCATCGTTTTATCTTGATCATGTCACCCAATTTCTCCAAGACACAACTTCTCCATTTGTAAACTCGGTTGGGGAGGAAGGGTTGGACTAGGTGGTCTCAAGAGCTTTTCCAGCTCAGTTTGACCATGATCCTAAAGTCTCAGAATCCCTCAGATGTTTCACTGCCAGCCTGTGAAAGTTTTCTTTATAGGACACTCTCTTTGCAGTCCTTTGCTCAGTCTCCAGTGTGACTGCCGAGAATCATGAGGATAGCTCAGGGTAACAGGGGACAATAGGGACTTTCCTAACCCCTGCATAAATCATATGAAAATGCAAAAGAAAAATATAGCTACAATCATGCAATCACGAGAAATGGAAACATTTTGTCTTTCTGCTTCTCCTTCCAATCCATGCCTGCATAAGTACCACGTCTGTACCAGAGCCTGGAGACTGCGTTGTATCCAAGGGCTTTTGGGAGGCAAGAAGGATGGAAAAGGGACATGTGACTATTTTAGTTCTGCTGATTGGCTGCCCTGGTAACCAGCTTTATAGACCCAGTGACTAAAAATCTCTCTCCAGCTCCGACCCCTCTCCTGAACTCCAGATGTGTATGTCCATCTGCCTTCTCAACATCTGCACTTGGAGGATGAACAATCATTCTATTCAACGTGTTGGAAACTGAACCCTTAGTTCCCACCACCAAACTGTTTTTCCACCTGTCTTCCCCATCTCATCCATTTCTCAGCCTAGCCAGGAAGCCATCCCCAATTCCTCCCCCTTCATTATTTTCACATTCAGTCCCCAAACAAGCCCTCATTTCTACCCATAAACACACCTCCCATTAGTCAATGTCTCTCCCTCTTCCCTGGCACTGCCATAGTTCAAGCCACCCTCATGCCCCCTGGTTTGCTGCAGTAACCTCACATCTGAAATTTCGGATTGCTTGCTTTCCTCTAATCTGCTTACCCCACAGGAGCCGTGGTGATTTCTAAAAATGTAAATCAGATCTTCTCATTTACTCTGCGGATTCAAACTTTCTAATGTCTTTCCATTCTTCCCTGAATAAAATCTCCACTCCCTATGATGGTCAAAAGCACTGTGTGATTTGGCTCCTGCCCATCTATTCGGCATTGTTCCGTGTCCCGTCACTCTTAAATCCCAGCCCCACTGGCACCCTTCCTCTTTCTTGAACCTTCCAAATTCCTTCATACTTAAGATCTTGGCACAGTTCCCTGTGACAAGAGTGTATTTCCCCAGGCTCTTGTGACTTTCAGATATCAGCTCAAATATTCCCTTTTCAGAAAAGCTTTCTCTACTATTCTTTCTAGGTAGCAGCTGCTTGATTCCTGATCCCTGTGGGATCTCTGTCATTGCAATCCTCATTATTTTGTGCACCTTTTCGTTTTCTTCAGAACACTCATCACATCTTCTTTCTTCCTATCTCTCTCCTTATCTCCCTCTCTCTCTATCCTTTCTTGTCTATCTGTCCTCATCAGACTGTAAACTCCACAAGGGTGGGGATCACCCGTACCAATGTTCACCAATGTTTTCTCTGTGTCTAACACAGTGCCTGTTACATAGTATAAGCTCACTAATTTTTGTGGAATAGATCACGTCATAACCTCCTGTGCAATGATCAATTATTTGTGTGGAAGCAGCGGACTGGGCTTGCTTGGACGTGAGCTATTTCCTTAAAGGTATGAGGAATCTTCCTGGACAAGCTGGCACTCTTCTGGCTGCTCCATTTTTTTTCTGGTCTCAGTGTATGGGACACCTGGGACATTCCCTATCGCCTTCTTGAGGTATGATTTGGGGAATGAGGAACTATCTAAAGTTTTAGGGGCAAATGTTTAAAAAAAATGATGATGTCCATGGAGCGTATGGTTTGGAGACTCCAGAGCGAGACTTGTGAGAAGGATATTGACGTGATCTGGGTAAGTGCCACTGAGGTTCTGAGCAACCATAAAGATGAATGGGAGGGAACAGAATTCATGGGACTTAGAGACCTAGGGCATCTAGGACTCAAAATGTGAGGTGGCAAGTTTGTACAAGTGCTGACACTGTCCTTGCTCAACCCTGAGAAGAAGTCTGTTTAAAATTGCTCCCTGGACACTTTGCTGCCTCATTGTATTCCTGGCCCTGCTTCCAGTGGGAGGTGATGGGGAAGGAGGCCAGGACATCCCCAAGACACCCAGTATTGGAGGCTGGGTTTGGGGATGCTGAAGCTGCAGGTGCTCTATTGCAAGTAGAGAATGCTGAAGAGGAGATTCATGTCTGAGGGGCAATGGAGGTGGGCTCAGGCCCTCCATCTCTGTGACTACTAAGGTCACAGTGAATCAAATAGAGTAGGATGCCTATTTCCCTGGGCGTATTTATTCGTTTACAGAGAGCCTTTCTCCAGAACTTGGACTACACTGCCTCCCCCAAATCTTCACCAGGGCCATTTGGGGCTCAGGACCAACCCTGAATGTACTCCAGGACCACCTTTCACACCTGGAAAGGTGTATGTGCTCTTCCCTTCTCCTCTCCACTCAGAGGCATGGAGTGGGCTTTAGTGTAGAACAGCAGGCCTGAGAGATCAGGAAGCAATAAAATGAGGATGGGTCAAGATCTCCCCATCTGTCTCTAGAACCATAGACAGTGATGCTCCTTGGAAAGTAGTGAGCAGAGTTGGGTTTGAATCTGGGTTCCTTTTTCTACCCCTTGTTATCTGAGTAACACCTAGTAGATTCCTTCAGATTCCTCACCTGCAAGTTGGGGAAGAGTGCCCACCTTGTGGGATTGATATGGCACTTTCTAGGTAATGTCCTTCCATTTATTTTTTTCCTTTTGATCTAGACATAGATCAAACATAGAATATACATAGAAGTATACCTATCATAAATCTTGCTTCATGAAACCCTCATCATTGATCTGTACATTACCCTCATTAATTAATCTACTTACCAGTCCATCCATCCATCCATCCATCCATCCATCCATCCATCCATCCATCCCTCCATCTTCTCTCCCTCCATCCCTCTCTTCCTTCTCCTTTCTTCCTTTCCTCCCTTTCAATCTTCCATCCATCTACCTATCTACTTACATACCTAGTTATCAATTTTAATTGTTATTCTGTCTATTTATTTTTTGTTTATAATGATATAAATAGTCATGGAGCCACTGCCCAGCATGGAAGTTGGAATCCTGATATTGACTTCTGTCTACCTATATGTACCCACACTTCTCATCCCTCTCCCTCCCCTACCTTTGGCAACTACTATTTTAAATCTTGTGTTCATTGTTCCTTTTTGAAAAAATATGGCTTTATCGTATTTACTTGTATTCCTAAAAGCCACTTGTTTGCTGTTTTTACCTTTATAAAAAGAAGATCATGCTACATGAAATCCTTTGGGGCTTACTCTCCCCTAATATTTTTTTGCTCAGATTATGCGTATTATTGTGTGTAGCTGTAGTTCATTGATTTTTACTGCTGTGTAACATTCCATTCTGTGGTTGTACTAAATTGTTTTCCCACCATCCTGCAGATGGACATTTGGATTGTTCTCAGGTTTTAGTAATTGTAAAGCATGCTACCATGTATATATTTGTAGATATCTCCTGTGCACATGTGCAAGAGTTTCTTTTGGGTATAACTCCAGTGGAAATGCCAGGTTATGGGATATATGAATGTTCCACTTAAAAATTTGCAGATTGTTTTCAACAGTAGCTGCACCACCTTACACATCCATCAGCAAGGTAAGAGAGAGCCGGTTGCTTCTTTATTTTTGCTATTTGGATAGCGACAAAATGGCATCTCAGTGAGATATGGCTTTGGCTTTTCCTGATTGCTGATGAGATTGGATGTCTCTTCCCATGTTTATTGGCCATAAGTGTTTCCTTTAATCTTATTTTAACGATGGGGCTGTAAAGGTTTTGTGCCCACAGTGGGTTTTCCATGAGGAGCCAGGAAGGGGCTTTCAGAACTGCAGGTATGTGTCTCCCCCTGGGCAGGAACCTGTCCTGCCTCTGCCGGTTTCTTGCTCAGTGACATGGACATCATGCCCTGAATCTCCAGAGAAACTTCTTTCCTGCAGAGGATGTGAGAGCCCACCTCTCACTACTCATATTCCCGGTCCAGGCTGTCACCCACTCTGGGGGCTGCAGGAGACAGGGAGGGGGCAGCCACACTGGACAGGTCTCAGAATGCTTGTGAGGCAGGAGAAGCTGGTGTAGTGGCTACAGGCATCATGGCAAGTGTTCCTTCTGGGTCAGTCCTCCTGAAAAAGACAGGAGGGAACTGAGGGTCCTATGTCATTGAGGAGGGCCTTGCACTGCCCGTGACCTGCAGAGGAAGCAGGGAGCCTGGGTGAAGCCTTGTTCTTAGGCCTCTCCTCAGAGACCACCTCAAGAGTGCTCTCTCTGCACTAGCTTCCTCTTTGTCTCCCTCCTTGAATCCTCCCCCTGCCTGGACCAGGGAGCCTGCATCTTTGTGGATCCTCAGACTGGAGCTGTGAGAGGCCGCAGGGAAGGGTGAAGGTTTTGGGCGGCAACTCTCAGGAACCATTTGGATTCAACATGCCTTCAGGTAGAGATGAAATTGGAGCACCTTGTCGCTTCTCCTAACAGTGCCCCCTGCTGGCCTGGAGTCCTACCCTTGGGAGCCCAACCCCTCTCTGGGGTCCCCCTTACCTGGAAGGGAGGCTCCTCCTGAGGATGTAGATGATGGAAAGTGCAATCAGGGGAATCAACTTCCAGCCAAGCAGGAGGAGGGTCCCAAAGAGGGAGCTGGATGCTATGGCACCTGCGACAGCAGATATCAGGATGAGCCTGGCTTCCTGCTTCCATCACTCAAGCCCCAGGCAGGCTCAGCCCCACCCTAGACTCAGGCACCAAGATACACCTTGGTCTTGGAGGAAGTCTCCTCACCTCTTTGAGCCTCAGTTTCCTAATCTTTAAAATGGGAATAACATGTACTTCAGAATGTTTTTGTATCAAATGAGAGCACCCAAGGAAAGTACCACCTAGGTGCTCAGTAATTGTTGAATTTGAATGGCTTTTGGGAGGATGGGTGAGAATTGGGGAAAGATATTTCTTTCTTAGTTATTCACAGCAATACCTGGTAAATGGTGTGTTGTCAGGATGCAGCTGTGTGATGAGAGTTGTGCTTCCTGCTATTGGTCCCTAAGGCATCACACTCTGAAGAGGTTGCTATAATTGCCATCCCATTGTATAGAAACTGAGTTTCAGAAAGGTGAAGTGACTTTCCCAAGGTCACATGTGAGGAACACGCAGAGCCAGCACTTGAACCCGGCCTGTGTGTCTCCAGGTCCGAGCCTTGACTTGCTTGGTTCTCCAGCCCTACTCACCCCAACTCACTTGCTCTTCTCTAAACTCGCTCAGCTGCACGCTGGCCTGGACCCGTGTCTGAGCCTCACGCCCCACTTGGCAGGTGAACAACCTTTTGTTCTCTGAGGCGTTGACCAGGATACGACTGTCTTGGCTGAATGTGCCATCTGGGTTCTTGGTGGGGGTGAAAGACTCACAGGTCTTGAAGGATCTGTTCCTCTCCAGCCAGGTGATTTGTATGCCATCGGGGTAAAACCTTTGCACATGACAGGTGAGAATGGCCACCTGTTGGCTTGGTACACGGTGTGCTGATATCGTCACTGTGGGCACAACTGAAACAATAGCCCTTCCTTTGTTACTGTCTTCCGTCATGTGAAAGATGCTCAAGGAGCATCCTCGCATTTCTAGGCATTGAACTGGGTTCTCAGGATACGGCAGTGAGGAAGAGAGATGTGGGTCCTGCCTCATGGAGTTCCCGCTTTGGTGGGGAGGACGGGAGGAAAAAAGCCATCACAGGACCCCATAGGGATTCTGAGAGCCTACACAGGGGCACCTGACTTGGTCTGGAGGTAAGGCAGGTTAGGGAACAGTTTCTGGAAGAAGTGAACTTTGAGCAGAAATATGAAACATGAATAGGAGTTAACTACATCTGGCAGGTTTTATTTTCCAAAAATGGCCACAGCAATCTCATAATGTCTTCCAGAACCTTGTGACTCCCTAGCAGAGGGGGAGTCTACTTCTGCTCCCCTGGAACCTGGGTGGGACTTTGTGACTTCCTGAGGAACAGAGTGTAGCAGACACCGTGACTTCCCAGTCCGGGTTATAAAAGTTGATGTAGCTTCCACCTTGGACTCTTGAGACAGTCACATTTGGAAGCCAACCACCAGCTATGAGGAAGCCCAAGCTATCCCATGTGGAAAAATGATAAGAAGAACTGAGATCTCAAGCTGACAGCCAACACCAATGGCCAGACATGTTAGTGAAGGAGACTTCAGATGATTCCAGCCTGTGAATCATCCAGCTGAGGTCCCAGAGTCATGGAGCTGAAAGAAACCATCCCTGCTGGCCCTGTCCCAGTTCTAGACCTGTAGAATATGTGAATATAATAATTTTGGGGATTTGGAGTAAGTTTAGAATATTGGGATATGTTTGGGATAATTTGTTATGCAGTCTTGGTAACTGGAACATGAGGCAAAGGGGCTGGAGGAGGGTCAGAGGAGGGAGGGCACTGGGAGAGGCGGGGTGTGGGGAAGGGAATCTCAGGCAGAGGGAAGGAGCTGGGCAGAGGCCCTGAGGTAAGCCTAGAATGTTCCAAGGACAGAAAGATGACCAAAGTGAGTGAGGAGGAGCATGGACGAGATGAAGCCACATTCGCAGCCAGTTTGCAGTCTGTCTACACTTACTGGTGCTGCACTTACCCCTGGGGGGACATAAGGACATCCTAGGGAGACATACATTGATAATATAATACAATTAATTTCCAGATGCCCAACCCTCATATGACTCTTTCCTGAAATTGATCTGCTTGAGAATGAGCACTAAGGTTGGTTCCCTCTCCTGCTTGCTGTTTCTCAATTCTTCTTCTCCCTTGTTACAGAAGAAAGGCCTTCCTGCACACATCCTGAATCTAGCTATGGTGCGTTGCCCTTGGTGTAAAGACTTTGGGACAAAAGATAAAAGGACAGTTCAACATACTACTGGCCAGAAAGCCGCTTTTAATCAAAGCATCATAAGCCCCCCCATCTATCTCATTGCACTTCTGTTAACATTTTAATGGTTATTTTAATAATGATTTATCAAAATTTGTCATATATTTAGATCGTTTGGATCTATTGTGTAATTCAATCCAAAAGAATTTTTTTTTAACACTTAGTGCCTTATGGTCATAAGAGAAAACATTAAGAAATTCAGTTTATATGTTTTATATGTCACGTATATTTATATGAAATTCACTTTATATTTTTTAGTGTTAGTTCTCTGTGTTCTCATAGTCCTGTATGTTGTGTATGATGTTGTGGTCAATAAAAAACTTTCAAATAGAAAATATGCTACACTGGGATAAAGTTCTCCCTGGGAAGTAGAATGGAAATACAAATTTAGGTAGAAAATGCAATGATATAAAATTTCTGATTTATAAAGAAGAGCTTGTTTATGTGTGTTGAAATGGATGATGGTGGAAATCAAATCAGTATGATGTTATTTTTCAATTGAGTATTTTTAGAACGATGTAACATTTGTAATATCCCAGGAGTTCTGTCCTGTGCAACTGTTTAAGCTTAAGATGAACAATTTTAGATGCTAACTTTAAAATATATGATGAAGTACATAGTTCTTCATAGTTATTTTATGGGTATATGAACAAAAATGCTTGAACACCGCTGCTAAACATTCTGGTAAGGATTTTGTTTCTTTTTTGTAAGAGTAGTGGGGAGACACCGCAGGGTTTTGAACAAAGGAGGGACATGACCTGGCTTCCTTAATAAAATGCCCTGACTGCCCTGGAGTTGGGAGGTCGACTGTGGAGGGTCATGGTGGATATGAGAGAGAGGGCTGTTGCCTCCAGGTAAGAGATGATATTGGCTTGACCTTGGGTATTAACCTGGGTAGTGGCAGTAAATAGGAATGTATGGGTTGAGAAGAGATTTGGGAAGGAAATTTGATAGAACTTGGTGATGGATTGGGTGAGAACAGGTATCTGGCAGGCTGACTGGGTTGATGGAGTCTCTTCATTGATATGGGGAAGGAGGAGGAGCAAAGAGTTTGGAGAAAGTGGGGAGAGCAGCACCATGCTCATGTCTAGGCTGACCATGACTGAATCATGTCTCTTGGGGACGGGGGCCCTGCCCTTCTCTGGTATCTCTGCATGGGGAGTTCTTATAGGAGGGAGGTCAGAGATGGTCATCTAAAGAGGTGTATTATTGGATTAAAATTCCAGCTCATTGATTTAAGAGCCATGTGACCTTAGACAAGTCACTTCACTTTTCTGGGGCTTGATTTCCTCATCTGCATGAAACAGGGACACAGAGCTTTTTTGGGATGCTCAAGGTGGCAGCTAGAATTCCATTTCCAGGCTGGAGATCCCTCGTAATACTCTTAGGTTAAGCAAAGGCAGAGTCCTACTTTGGGATGGAGGAATTTGAACAATGAGGAGCTAAACTCTTCTTTACAATGATATCACAAATAGTCTGCAATGAAGAGGGGTGATTGTGTGGAGATTATGATGCTATTAATGGGTGCTCTTTGGTTTTCTCTGGCTGGAGCTGGAGAGAAGGAGAGTTGGGGCTCTGGACCCCCGGGAGGAGTTCACCCATCTGCAGGATGTAAGTGGAATTCTGCCATGCTGAAGTCATTGTGGGGGAGGAGTGCATCTAAAGAGAGAGCAGATCCCTTGGGAAATGCCTTGTAAAGGCCTGGGCGGATGCACTTCCCCAGGGGCGTGGTTGATTTCCTTTGCCTGTCCTTCCATATTTCTGCAAAGTCTGACTCCACACCACAGCAAAGGCCTTTGGCTTTATGAGGTCAGAGCAAGAAAGGTGGAGGCTTAGCCTTGCCTGCATATTTCCCTCCCCTGATGCCAGAGTGGGTTTAAGAACCTTGTTTCAAAGGCAGTGACTGGCAGCAGAGCAGTGGTGGCATGATGGTTTGGACAATAGTGTTAGGAGTCCATGTGGAGAATCCAAGTGGGAGAAATGTCCTTGCTGTGGCCTGGAAGGCCTGTGTGATCTGGTCCCTGCTCCTTTCTCTCCAGCCTCTTCCCCTCCACACACCATTCTTCTCATTAAGCCTCAGCCACACGAGCCTCATCCCTGCTTCTTAAACATGCCTTGCTCTCCATCACCCGCATCCTCTGCCTGCAACACTCTATTTTTGCTTGGCTGACTCCTTTTCATCTATCATGCCTTGTCTCAACCATCACTTCTTCAAAAAGGCATTTCCTGAATATACTAGATTTCTCCTGTTTTCATCGATTCATTCAGTACTCTGTTCTTTTCCCTCATAGCAAATGTTAGAAGTCATAACAATATCGTTGTTTGCATTTTGGTTGGTGGGGTTCATGTGACTGTGAACTCAGTGAGGCAGAACCACGTGTGTTCTGTTTATCATGGAATCCCCAACACCTAGAATAAAGCCACCACACAGCAGGTGCTCAGTAAACACTTGTTGAGTGAATGATTGAACTTCCACCTCCCAAATATACTAGAGAGAAGGGAGCTCTGCAAAAGAAGGATCCAATCATGGCATTATGTGGGAAGAGGATGGTTGTATAAGATGGGGAACTTGTACGCCACTCACGTGGGGTTTGGTGAAGAGTGAATAGGAGGACGCAGGGGAAGTGCTCCAAACAGGAACCTGTGGTGGTCACCTAGGGTTGGCCATCTGGGTGGGTGCCCTTACCTCCAAGGAATTTGGAGATGTTCACATGGCTACTGAGCGGGCTCTGCAATTCACTGTGAGCCACTTGACAGGTGATCTGGGAGTGGAGTGAGGAGAGGGCAAGCGTCACCAGGGTGGTGCTGATGATGGTGTAAGAAGAAGCATCTCCAGGTGGGAAGACAAGGGTCTGAAGTGCTGGAAGCTCCACTCCATTTTCAAACCATTTGAGATGTATGTTTTTGGGAAAGAAGCCAGTTGATGTGCAGGTTAGATTCACTCTCTGGCCTGGGCTGGCCCTGTTGGTGGGGCCATAAACCTCTGGAAGAGAGGGCTTAGCTTTGACCAAGGCAAGGAGGAGAGAGAAGAGAGAGAAATGAAGATGGTAAGTTACTCTCTAGTACAGTACCCTTCCTTGTCTTTCACCCCACTAGACTTAGCACTCCAGTCTCTCATCCGCAGTGTTCTCCTCTTTATAATTTTTATTATGACTTTTCTTAAGATAACAGCTTGCCAACAGGCCTCACTGACTTTGCTTCTCCACCCTACCAACCCACACTCAGAATCCAGACCATTGTGATCATGCTAAAATACAGATCCAACCTTGTCATTCTCCTTCCCTTCCTTCCCAAAGTATATTGTTTAAAAAGTTATATAAGGTATATGTGAAAAACATCAGACCCCTAGCTTCCTCTCCCTGCAAAAATGACACATCAATCACTTTAAACTATTTTAGCTGATTTTTGGACATTTCTATCTGTGTTTCTAAATAACATGCTTATACTATTATTTCTCTATTTTTCAGTTTTATATATTATGGACAGACCTGCTGCTGTGGAAGATGATTATTTAGCTGTCCTACATCTGCCATTCACACTTCTCCTCACATCTTCCTATCACAGACCCATCAAAATATTTTATTTTATCAGTATTCAATATTTATATTATTATGACCAAAGGAAGATTGTTCACTATTGGGCCGTATATTACATTTCCTTTGT